AGCCGTTCAAATCTTCAAATGGCAAGCTACTAACACCACAGTGAACACGGATGTGGCAGTAGGCAATGGAATAATGGTGGGCAGTGCAATCCTACGAACAACCAACGGAGACTTCATTGGAGGTATGGCAAGGATGCTTCAACAGAAGACCAACGCAGAAGAAGGAGAACTGGAAGCTGGACTATTGGGCCTACAATGGGCCACAAAAATTCTTCATGGACAAATAAATCTCTGCATGGACTCCAAAAATGCAATAAATAGAATTAATGCGAAAAATAGAGAAGATACAGTCAGCTTCAACATAAAGACAATTCTACAAGCAAGACATGGGAATGCCAGCCACATATACAGAGAAGAAAACACAGCGGCACATAATCTGGAAAAATATGCACTCAAAAACAATTTGTTTTCCGACAATTTATCATTCACTTCTCTTCCCAAAAATGTTAGGGGAGCAATTACATGTGACAAAACTTGTATCTCGATTCGTCTTAATTAATATATAAAAATTTCTTCAAATATATATATATATATATATATATATATATATAGAAACATATATATTATGAATGGGTTGTAGAGAGAGGGAATTCTCTTGGGATTACGGCGAATTAGATCGGAAACCCAACCCTATCTATCGACGATGGGAATCTCGCCGGGTTGATGGACACCGGATCTCTTACAAACCCCTCTCAACATCTGGACATCGTTGGGGTTCTGGTTCTAGAAAGCCAATAGTAGATTCGAGGTGGCAGAACCTTTCAACGAAAGGCAAAAAGCGCAGCATCCAGAGCCAAATCCAGAGAAGGGGTCATAGATATGTTTCGCAGAGGAATTACCTTCAGGAATCTAGACCAAGTTTTCGAAGCAAAAAAAAAATCCTTCCAATTTTGCATTGAGAATAAGGTATTTCTCCTCTTTCACTCCTTCTACCACAACAATTTTTGCATCTCAGAGTTTGGGCGTAGGGCATTCCATATCTGGTTAAATTTAGCAGAGGTTCAATGGCTGACTGAGATTCTTCCCAATAGCGCTCTGCGTAGCTCTTGGGCCATATCTAGATATGAGGAAGGAAGGAAAGTGTATGTATCTCATGGCTTTAATCGATGGGGTTCTTATCTGAAAATCAGCGTTACAAAGGATGTTGTTACTAATGCTGTCATTATTCCAGTGGATAGGGATAACCCGTTCCTTTTCAGGCGTGCGCTTGACTCCTTCTTTGGTAAGATTACAGACTCCAGCATTGATAAGAGAACTGCAAAGGAGGAAGTTACCTTTTCTGCATCTGGTACTGATACTTCGCAGGTCAAGGAGGATGTTACCTATTCTGCCTCTGGTATTGACGAGAAAACTGCAAAGGCACTTGCTTCCACTAGTTTCAAGGACATACCTTCCTCATCCAGCAAACATGTCCCTTCCACCTCTTGCATATCCAACATGGCAGAGAAAGTTCCCGACTCAATTCTTCATATCAAAGAGGAGACCAATTTTGTTTCCAAGGACAAGAAACTTGGAGACTTTTTTTCTCAGCTTTGGATTCAATTCTTACAACTTAATGCTGACAAGTTTGCAGCTTTTATAGATGGTTTTGGTATCCAGGCTTCTCTTTTATCCAAACTCACTGGAAAAGAGAATGGTTATCTTGCTTTCTTGGAGGATCCCATGGCTGAAGATCCACCTTTAGAGGCTCAAAATACATTGGAGGAAGAACCCGGTTCACCTTTAGAGATTCACAGTAATTTGGAGCAAGCCTCTTCCGATAGATTGGCATTGGTTCAATCTTTTACACCTATCCAGGCTATTTATCCTTTAGTGGATCATCCTCCAGTTGACCACTCCTCTGTTCGTGCTTATCACTCTGATTCTGAAATCTTTGTAAAGGAGGACAACATTGCGTTTCTACCTTTCTTCAGAGATCAAACAGATTTTGATCCTGATCCGGAGCCATATAGAGAGTGGTATCCTGATGATGGTATTGAGCCTGATGATCATCTTCGGCATTGGGGAGGACCTAAAGGACTTACGGCAGCTTTAATTCGTAATAATGATAAGGGCAGAATTATTTTTGAAAGAGGTTGTGTGTGTGGTTCCAGCCCACCTGCCCCAAGGAGAAGTTTAAGACTTGCGAGGAGAAGGCGACTCCCCTCTCCCATTCGATCTGAGTGCTCTATCGACACTAGCATATGTCCTTGATAGCATATGTCCCATGGGTTTAAATGAATAGTTAATATTGAATAGGCAGTCTTGAGTCCTTGGCTTATGTTTCAGGTTGGCAATAACCACTATGCAGCAGTTTCATAGATTCAGATTTTCGAATATGGATCATCTGGCTTTCTAAACCAAATTTTTGGTCAGCTTATAATATTGAATCCCTCAGGATTGGAGTAGCTCCTTGGTCCTTTTTACTCTTGTAATTGGGAATTATATGTTGAGGGTTCTTTATTCAACTGATTAATCAACATGGGTATTGATGTTATTGGAGAAGCTGTATCAACTCTCTTCAAACGCAGATGGACCAGTTTGCAGGACCGGACTACAGGCCATGTACCAATTGGGTAGTAGCTGGCAGTTATACATGTGATTGTTGTCATTTTATGAGTTGTCCTGGAAGCTCAGACTTCTAGCTCCCTTTGTTTTTTTTTGTTCTTTGGGTTTTTCTTAGGTTTTTTTTTCTTGCTTTGGCCTGGTGTTGGGGTCGGCCACCCCCTCCTTTTGTACCTTTTTTCTTTTCTTCTCATTAATAAAATATCTTTCCTTAAAAAAAAAAGAAAAAATATATATATATAGGATTGACTCCGGTGAGATGACACCTTGTGGTAAGATGACATGTTTTAGTGAGATGACACTAGAGCTCACCACTGATCACTGCAAAGCTCACCACTGATCACTTCAAAACTCACCACTGTCCACTGCAAAGCTCACCATGATTTTCCAACACTTTACTTTTTTTTCAAAATTTGATGGTTAAATGCTCACAAAGCCCATCAACAAAGCTCACTAACTCTCATTGCAAAGCTCACCGAATATGTGCACAAAGCTCACCACACTTTAAAGTTTAAAATGACTTTAAAAAAACAAAGGGCGGTGGTGCTGACTTCCAACCGCTGCAGAATACCACCGTGGACCGGTGGTTGACTGGTGGTGCAATTTTATTAGTTTTTTTTTAAAAAAGTGGTAAGCTTTGCATTGTTCCTTGGTGAGCTTTCCATTGTCAGTTGGTGAGCTTTCCATTGACAGTTGTTGAGCTTTACACATTGACCGCCCACGACCAATTGCCACCACTGATGACCCCCACTGTCGCCGTGGACCGGTGGTTGACTGGTGGTTGAATGGTAGTGCTATTTTTTTTAACTTTTTTCATTTAAAAAAATGGTGAGCTTTGCATTATTCCTTGGTGAGTTTTCCATTGGCAGTAGGTGAGCTTTGTATTGACAGTTGGTGAGCTTTCCATTGGTAGTGTTGTGTGTGTTGTGTCATCTGATTGAAGCATGTCATCTTACCATAAGGTGTCATCTCATTAGAGTCAATCCCTATATATATGTGTGTGTGTATGTATGTGTGTGTGTGTGTGTGTGTATATATATTATATGTATGTATGTATAACATTATGATATTATGAATACTCACCTCTCCTTTGAGCAATCTGTCTAGCTGGTCCCTGTTTGCTCGTATGCAGTGTGTGGTACAATATGACCATTGATGGTAACACACTCATCTACAAGTGAAGGATTATGCACAACCATGAATGAAACATACTATATGATTTTTTGAGATACATAAAGAAACTGCAAATATCGGACTCCGTATGGGACATCTTGTAACACCCTAATCCGTCCAGGTCTACAGCCCCATTCGGACTAAAGTATTTAACTTGGTAATCGTAAAATTTAAAACTTTTCAAACACACTTTATTAATCTCAATAATATTTTTCATAACATATGCAGTACGGAGTATTTAACAATATTGCGGATGCGAATTTAATATTGACTTATCATAAATCATTTCAAAGCTTGTCACATTCATCCTGACAATCTCGCCCCATCTGCCGCCAGGATCACATTAATCTTTCTGTTTACCTGCGTGTAGCAAATAAAACATACTACACGCTCAGAGATGAAGCTGAGTAAGCATATCTAAAGCGTCAAACATCCAAATAAATTGAATCTCAATTCATAATTAACCATTTGATATCATGCACACAATATATGATTCAAACATTCATGATCTTCTCAATATTTTATTCCAAGTCATTTGATATTCAATATCTCAACCATGCTCTTAAATTATTCTTAATCTAAGGCCAAATCATTTTTGTTGTGAAAAATCATTTTTATAATAATCATAATCAATTGGTATCAAAAATAGGATTTTAAAGCTCAAAAATAGCAATTTCAGACAAAATTTCGGACCAGAGTTTCGGAAGATCGATCCAGCCCTCTGGATCGATCCAACTAGAAGAAAAACTCCCAGAGGATCGATCTAATGAAGGGGATCGATCCACTCTGTGGATTTTCAGCCATTGTTCATTCGTCTTCAACCTCGGTCCATTTTTTCGGGAAAACCATTTTTAATCACCGAACTTCAATTAAACTATATAGAGGTGTTCTCCAAGGTTCATAGATCATATTAGAATTACTAAAACATATTTTTAACATGAAATTCAAGGTTTATGATTCTTGGTTCTTCAAACATGTCAAACACAAAACTCAACCAAATGACCATTTATGAACGTAGAAACGACCTATATGAACATTCTAGTCATTAGATATATCTACGGGCTTACTTCGAAGCTTAATGGAGGTTTTGGAAATTTTCCGGCGAAACTTCCGGCGATGATATCTCTTAACTCCGACGATTCCACACCAAATTGACAGCACCACAACACTCTTTACACTCAAGGCTACCTCTTAGAAGAAATTTGAGGGAGAATGGTGAAGAAATGAGGAAGAGAGGTCTTCCTTATATATTGGTGAAGAAGAAGGAGCTAATGGAGTTGAGTCAGTGGTGACTCACGATCGGCGAAATGGGAAGGTCGGCTGATTTAGTCTAATTGCTACGACTCTTCACTGATTAGGACTAATTTGGTCCCAGTCAGGGTACACTTTTTGGTCCAACTTTCTCCAAATTGAAATCCGTTTGCATCTTTGCGATCAGACAGTCGAATTCTATCCAACTATATAATTTTTATATTTATTTGAAATACTTTTTCCGACATTATATTTTTGAGTGTTTGACTTTGACAGAGTCAAAATTGGTTTATTTGACCTTTATTCAAAAAGGTTCTCACATTTAATTCATATCATTTGTTCTCATGATTTATTTCAATAAATCATTTTAAAGTTCATATTATAAATAATTTCTTTATTTATTCTTGATTTGGGTCTGTACTTATGTTCCCAATCAAGACNCGATCAGACAGTCGAATTCTATCCAACTATATAATTTTTATATTTATTTGAAATACTTTTTCCGACATCATATTTTTGAGTGTTTGACTTTGACAGAGTCAAAATTGGTTTATTTGACCTTTATTCAAAAAGGTTCTCACATTTAATTCATATCATTTGTTCTCATGATTTATTTCAATAAATCATTTTAAAGTTCATATTATAAATAATTTCTTTATTTATTCTTGATTTGGGTCTGTACTTATGTTCCCAATCAAGACCACACAAATACACAAGTACTTATTCTTGATTTATTTCAAAAAAATTTAGGGTATGTTTTGGGGCGTTACACATCTACTACCAGATCCAATGGTATAACCCCTCTAGGTCTAATCATAGACAGACGCTCCCAAGCCCAAAGCTGTAACAAGACAAGACAACCTCCAATCTGTGCTGCATTCGTCGCACTAACACGACACATACTACGGTACAAGAAATCGAGTACTGCTGAACAAATAGCACGACCCTGCACAATGTTTGCGTCACCCATTATTATCTCTAAAAGATTCAAACTAACCTTATTTCCCGTCATGTTGAAAAATAGGCTACCACCCAACAACTTAAACATAATGCCTTTATCATGCTGTAAGTAATCTACATCTATACTATTGTTTTTTAGTTGCTTAGGAACAATTGCATACATCTTAATCATAGAAGACGTAATATCGATTGTATGGGGTCTAAATCCCATCATGTCCTCATATATCTGAATCCACTGATCCCTAGATCGGCTAGTCATCCCCGCCAATGGAATGCCATCTACGGGCAATCCAAGCAAACCTTTACATCTTGCAAAGTAATTCCCACCTCTTTGAAGGGAAGATATAATAAATGGGTCTTGGGACTCCATCTCTCTACTAAAGAAGTGATCAAAGCGCAATCTAACGGCAACCTAGTAACTTTCTCAACCCTATAAAATTTGTATTCTCGTAAAATCTCAATCACAGGAACCGGTCTATTAACAATAAGAGTCTTTGTATATAAACTAGTACAAGTCTTGTGACACTTTAATTAAAACAATTTTAGCACTTTCTTCGTTCTCCCAAACCGCATCACACCTATGCTCTTTAGGTTCAAGAACTAAAACATCTCGTGAAATAGGTCTCGGATGTACATCCATTTGCTTCAAGGATTACAACATAAGAATATGTCCAATTAATAAAAATATAACAAGACAATTGTAATAAAAAAATCATGAAGTAAGCACTTCTACGTACAATCTATGACTAAATAAATATCGTACAATATCAAATTTATAAAATTAAACTATATACGGAGTATTTGTTAATATTTTCACAAAATTATAAATCTTGTATCGACCAATTCCAACTACAACAGCATTGAAACAAATTTAACAAAAAAAACCTCCACGCACGGAAACGGAGTAGATGAATCTGGTCACGTTTGGGGGTCGGCACGTTCCTCTCCGTTCTTGTCGTTCTCTCTCCCTCCTGTGTTTCTCTCTGTCCTCGTCGTTCTCTCTCCCTCCTCGTTCTTTTTTTGGCCCAGTACTGTAAACGAGTGGATGGGAGAAGGTAGATCTGGTTTGATTTATGATTTGAAGACGAACGGAGTAGCGTACTCCGTCTCTAGTTAATTAAAGAAGAACGGAGTAGCGTACTCCATCTAGGAAATTGATTAACGTGGAACGGAGTAGCGTACTTCATTTCTATTATTATTTCAAAAATAAACGGAGTTGCTTACTCTGTGTTGCACTGTCAAGAAAAAAACTTCTGACCAACACTGCCAGGAATGCTTTTTTATTTTTTTTACATATATCGGGAGTTTCCTCCTATCAAATTATGGAGTGCCAATATCAATTCCTTAATAATAATAATAATAGTAATAATAGTAATAATAATAATAATAATAATAATAAAAGAATGAAAAAAGAAAAGTCCCTCCAAAGTAACTTTTTGGATATTTTAGGATATCTCGAAATATATTTTTTTTAAAAATAGGACCTGGAAGTTCTTTCTACAATTTGGAGGTACCTAATAACAATTGTAGGGAAGAAGATGAAAATATAACGTTGCAAGTGAATACTCTCTCCATCCCACTGTCTTTGTCCACTTTTGACTTTTGGAACTATTCATCTAAGCACTTTGACTCATCGAATTCTCTGAATGTGTAAGCCTAAATATAGTCATGTGTGATCTTGTTTGATTTGTCTTAACATATAGATTATTAATATATAATTTCTATAATTTTTTAATATATAAATTACAAGATAAAATGGATTAAAGAAGTGCATTAGATGATGTGCCAAAAGGTAAGTGGACAAATACAATGGAACAGAGGGAGTATGACGGAGAGTTGGGTAGAAATCCAAAGTTAATTTTTGGATATTTGTATATTACTCCGAAGTATACTTTTAAAAAAACATGGGATCAATAATTCTTATTACAAAATCGATTACATCGAGCAATTTTTGGAGGTTGAAGTGTTGCACTAGTCCAAGGCCAGCCCTCCATTCCGTTGGCATTATCCAATTTTGGTCAATTTCAACATACCACATTTATCACATCAAGCGTTTTTGGGAAATGATAGAATTTAAGTAATGTGTAGTTTTGGTATTACTTCTATATTTTACTCTTATTATATACTCCGTAATAGGATATGATAAAATAGAAAAATGCTAGGGGTACACCTTGGTGTACCCCAAATATTCCCCACCCCCTCCTTGTCCACTAAAAAAGGCAAAAAAATTCAAAAAAATAAGTAAATAAAAATCAAATAAAAATGTGTGGAGGAAAATAGGGTGGTGTACATTTGGGGTACACCTTTTGGTGTACCCCTAGCATTACTCGATAAAATATGATGAGTAAGTTGGAACTTGGAACACATGTTGGGAAAGGAGGGAAAAAAGGGAGGTGAGGTAGCTAGTTTTGGTATTACTTTTGAAGTTGGATTTGTGATCTTCGTGGCCTTTGGCTTGTACTGCTGCTATAAACTTTTTTGGGTGAATGAATGAAGATGTGCACTTTTTTTTAAAAAAAGTTAGAACTTAGGAAGTGAATCTAGTTTTTGAAGAGTTGTTATTCGTGTCATTACAAATAGAAATTTCAATTAGGAGGAAGACTAATAAGTAAACGATCATGAGGGGTAACGTTATGTTCTATTCAACTTATTCTTATTGCTTATTTTTTTCTTATTAGAATCAGATTAGACCAGATCATATCAGAAACAACTTTAAATATAATTATATTCAGATTACATCTGACCAAATTAATCGGATCAGAAATTATTTCAATCAGATTTGAACTATTTAGATTCGGTGAAGAAAACATGGCCTAAATCTCTCAGAAATAGGTCTATGTTCTCTACAATTTATTTTTTTTAACTTATTACTCCGTATTTCTTTTTACCAGAATCTGATCAATTCGTTAGATCAATTCAAATCAGATCCAATTGTTTTAAATTAGATCATTAGAGTTTTAGATTGCACCACAATTAGATCAAATTATATTTAATCAAATTAAATAAGATCAAATTTGTATGATATTGTGATTCTTATCATATTTTTTGTGCAGTTGGAGCCGGGGGTCTTTTGGAAACAGCCTCCCTACTTTCGAGTAGAGTTAAAGGTCTGCGTGCACACACCCTCTCCAGACTCTACTGTAGTGGGATTCAACTAGGTTGTTGTTATTGTTGTAAATAAGATCAAATTTATTATAATCTTATTTGATCAATCTAAATTTTTTAATAAGATTTAATAAATTGTGACAAAGAGAAAATTTATTATAAAGGATCATCAAATTTATACACACTCTTCCAAGGTGGATGGATTTTACTATTGATTTTGTTATTGTTCACCCGTATAGCTTAATTTTCCTAATTTGAACTTAGGTTGATCCAAACGATGAATTATAATTAATCCCATAATTGTTGAGAGAGGAGAGAGAGAGTCAAAATGTAACCGTTGGAACTAAGAAATGCCCAAATTTGAACTCAACAAAATCCAACAAATTTCAAAAATCACCATAAATAAATCGTTTCTTCCTCGTCAACGTAATCCAGCATCCATCTGTGATCCAACCTTAAATTTTCAAGAATCTGATGCCTCACTTCCCATCCCTCTTTCCTTATTCCACGCCAAACTTCCCATATTGTTCTTTCATCTGTCTCAGTTCTTCAGCGTCACCATAAACCAATGGAGAAGACGACTGCGGTGGATGCTTCGGAAGACGATGTTGTCACTCTCACTTTGGAAGGTGAAAAGGTTATAGTGAAGGAAATGGCGAACGAGGAGGAATCTCATCCATATGCTTTTCATGTCTCTGGGCCCCGCAACGTTTCTTCTCCCAATTGGAGAGATCTCATCATTTCCAGTTGGTCAGTTTTTGTTTATCTTCCATCTAAGATTAATTTTTTCGTACCATGTTTGTTAACTTGTTCATGATGAGGTTCTGTTCTTGACTTCTTGTGCTGTCTTTCTTGGATTTTTGAAATTCCTTCATAAAGACTGGATCTTGATCCAATTTTACCCAGATCTGAAAAAGGCATCTTTGGTTTTACCCAGATCTCATAATAATTAGTGGCTTTGCAGGAAAGATGCAAATTATAAGAGGACGGTGATAGCCTGCTTCATACAAGCGGTGTACTTACTGGAGCTGGACAGACAAGAGAAGAGAGGGGAAGAAACAGGGCTTGCCCCGAAATGGTGGAGGCCGTTCAAGTACAGGCTGGTGCAGACCCTGGTGGACGAAAGGGACGGGTCGATATTCGGGGCAGTGCTGGAGTGGGACCGGGCAGCAGCGCTGGCCGACCTCGTGTTCATGAGGCCGAGGGGTGCGCCCACAGCCGTCGTGGCACTGCGTGGGACCCTCTTGAAGGGTCCCACCATCAGACGAGACGTGGAGGACGACCTCCGCTTCCTCGCCTGGGAAAGCCTCAAGGGGTCCGTGAGGTTCAGGGGCGGGATGGAGGTGCTTAGGTCGCTGGCAGCGAAGCACGGGAGTCAAAACGTGTGCATTGCAGGGCACTCGCTTGGAGCGGGGTTTGCTCTTCAGGTTGGGAAGGCGCTGGCCAAAGACGGGGTCTATGTGGAGGCACATTTGTTCAATCCTCCTTCAGTCTCCATCGCCATGAGCTTGAGGAACCTGGGGGAGAAGGCGACATTCGTATGGAAAAGGCTCAAATCTATGATCCCTTCTTCTTCTTCTTCTTCTTTGGTAGCAGAAGAAGAAAGCGGAAAAGAAGGATCATCAAAATCAAGAAAGCAAAAACCGCAATGGGTGCCACACCTGTACATAAACAACAGCGACTACATCTGCTGCTCTTACACGGATCCAGAGGGGGAGGCGGGCGGTAAAGAAGAGAAGAAGGATGATGCAAAGGCGTGGAAGGGCGGGGATGGGAGGCACGTGGCGGCGAAGCTATTTTTGTCGACGGTGAAGGGGGGAAAGCAGAGGTTTTTGGAGGCTCATGGGCTGGAACAATGGTGGTCAGACAGCTTGGAGCTGCAAATGGCTTTGAATAACAGCAGGCTGATTAGCCAGCAGCTGAAATCCTTGTATAGCCTCCCACCTTCCTCCTCATCTTCGCATACAACACCCTCAGTTAAGTAAGCCTCAGAGGTAGAAGAATTATTCCAGAAGATGACCTTCTCAGATCTCTGGGTATTGTTTGGTCTCTCATCAAATTGAAGGGATGATCTTAGCTTGTACTGAATTTGATTAATTGATACTCTTTCCGAGTATTACTTGTGCAGGGGCAAGCTTCATGTGGGCCTGAACAACTTTAAAACGAGAATAAACTGACTACACTCGGCATTGAACTTTTCTAATGGTCACTTGGCCGCAATATCCTTGTTTAGAGCATTTGATTCTGATCATTTGAACATTTGAGGAGCCAATATTTGGGCCCTTTGTTTTTTCGGCCTGAGTTTAGGGTAAGTTCTATTCATGTGTAATCTTTTGGGATGGGTCTATTGATTTTTTTAAGGGTTGGCAATGTGCAATTTGGAATCAACAACTTTATACTCTCTCAAATTTAAATGGTCTCTAAGGGTTAAACTTCATTAACTTTTTTACTCTATTTTTGTTAGTCATTTGATAAAATAAAATAGTCATGTCACTCCTAGTTTTGTAGATCTTTTTATTTATTATTTCAATATGTAATTTTAATTTTTTAGTTCTACATTATTTTTCATATAAAATGATTTGAAAATAATTTAAGTCAAATATAGATTAGGACGAAGGGAGAAGAATTTTTAACACTATGTTTGGTTCAAGAAAATTTGAAAGGGAAAAAAAAGAAAATGAGATAGAAAATTATTTTTCATATTTGGTGAGAGTGGAAAAGAAAAACAAAAGTGGAAGAAAAAGCAAATGAAAGACAAAATGTACTAAAAAAAAGAGAGAACCGAATTGAGGAAAATGAAAGAAAACTATTTTCTTTTCTTCTCGTTCAAAAATCTTTAAACCAAGGATAGGGTAAACGTTCATAATGTGTCCAAATCTCACTGTATTAGTTATAATTGGAAGAGTAGCTTAAAATTAGCACTTACATGGGTCATTTTGAGGTGCCAAATGTGATCCCATTCCATATAAAATGTGAGAGAATATGTTAGGGTGTCCTTAAATCTACTCCCAAAATGAATATATTGTACACCTTACATCTAATTTTATTAAAGTTTCAACCATTAATATAAAAAATTGTTATTGGTGTAAATTTGGCAATATTAGATGAAATGTATGAATACTGTCGCTCGATTTAGCAACACATTGTGCTTAATATATAAAAGAATGTTCTAAGTTATACGAACACATTTTTGTAATGGGAAATTTACTTAAATAATACTAAAATATAATAACTTTCCCTAAAGAGTTTCACATGTGTTTTTTTCCCAATGTCGCTCTTTTAGTCATTATCTATTAGTCATTATTCATGTAAATTTTCATCATAATTGGATATTATGGACATTATTAAGTGCTATTTAAGAAATAAAACAATTTAAGTACTATTTAGAGAAATGACTTAAGTTTCAGTGTTATTTACTGCAAGTATTACTTTTTGTAAAATTGATGGTTCTCATTAGGGCTGTGCATTATTCGGTCCAAACCCGGACCGACCCGAAGACCGGCCAAAACCGGACCGGACCGGACCGGTCCTAATTCGGTCCGGTCTCCGGTCCATCAATTTCCATTATCCGGGTTCCGGTCCGGTCCGGTCCAAACCCGGTGAGACCGGTGGACCGATTATATGGGCTTATATTTTACTACTTTTTAGTATATGGGCTTAAGTACCATACACAAACCCATTAGTCCATTACCCCAAATTATGGAATCCACCTTAATACACAACCCTATCTAATAGCAAAGCAAATTCACAGAGGCCATAGAATTATAGAAACAACTCCACTCGATCTTCTCGACGGCAAAAGAAATACTCAGTATCAAACACAACCCATTCAGCCGAAGAGTCCGACAAAACGCAGGGCTTTCTCATCGCCGCCGGAAAACTTCTGATTGAAGAAGATAAGATTTTTTTTGGAGACACGCAGGGGAATGGATTTCTCATTGGCAGTCAGCACGCAGTCGTCCACTCAGGGGAAGGGCTTCCCCCTTATTCGGTCCTTAATCGGGCCGGTCCGGACCGGTCCAGTTTTTTTTTGATCCGGTCCCGGTCCGGTCTTACACTTTATCGGTCCAGTCTACGGTCCACTACTTTGCTCTTATTTGGTCCCGGTTCGGTCGCGGTCCGGTCCAGGTCGGTCCGGGTTTAGACCGATGCACAGCCCTAGTTCTCATAACCAACTTCCATAACCTTCACTCAACCCCCATGCGCCCACCCTTGCCGCCCGTCTCACCCACTTCCTTATTCCCTAATTTGGCAGAATATTTTGCCAAATTAGAGATTAAGGAGAAAAGTGGGTGAGGGCGGGTGTAGAAGGAAGGCTAGGATAGGGGGTTTAAGAGGTGTGTTACAAGGGGTAGGAATGCTAATTTTGTGAATGGTGTACCATATGCGAGTGTCATGACAAGTGCCATATGTTGTTAGCATAACTTTTCATATACTCCCTCCGTCTCCAATTTGATTACAAATTGCGGGTTACAGAGTAAAATTTCTTACTTTTTAAAATCATTTATTTACAAATTGGTATATCAATAAGATATAAAAATTACATATTAAAAAACTACGTCAAAAGTTCTACAAAACAAGAGGTGACAAGAATATTTTATTTTATCAAATACTTAATGAAATCACGTAAACAAACAAAAGTTATCGAGAGGAGAGAGGAAAAAAAATTGTAATCTATTTAGGAATGAAAGGAGTATAAAATAATGAGTGAATAAGGTTGCGCTCTATTTAACTTATTTTTCTATTATTATTAAATCAAATAAGATCAAATTCAATCCAATCAGATTCGATCAAATCCAATCAGATAAGATTCATTCAGATCAGGTCAATCCACAAAAATATTGAAAAATAATGTTTGTATTTTGTTATGATTAAATAACACAGAGTAATTAATATTACCTCCGTCCCAATGTATTTGTCCAGTTTGACCTTTTCGAGTCAAACTGGACAAACTTTGAACTCCAATTATTCTCAATTTATATTGCATATTAGCATAATAAAATACAATTTTGAAAGTTCTCATTACGATAAATCCAATAAAATTATTTTTATGTTAAAATATATTATGGTTTTTATTTAATTGAAGCTCAAAGTTTGTCCATTTTGACTCGAAAAAGTCAAACTGGACAAATGCAATAGGACGGAGGGAGTAAAAGATTAAATCATGTTACAATAGTCAATGTTGCATATAACTAAATAAAAAACAGAAAATAATTATTCTAGAGTACTTTCGATTTTCTGGTAAGAACTCGCATGTCCCACATTATCTGAAATGTATTTCGGAGTACTCTCGATTTTTGAGAAAAACTTTTAAGTTCCACATTATCTAAAATATATTTCGGGGTTCTTAAAGTTTGTGGTAATGTACTCCGAGGGTAAATTCCATCCAAATAATTACCAAATACTTACTCCGGATACCTCACGTTTTTTTGCTTAGAACTTGCATGTCACAAATTACCAAATTTAACCTTGAATAATTGTTAATTTATTAAATGTTAATAAAAGCATTCAATTTTAAGTTGATAACAACTAAGATTGCAATAATGACTATATAAATTGAAGGATACGGATTTTATTAAAGTTTAATAAAAAAATGATTATTCAAGGTAAAATCTAGAATTATGGGCGATGTGAGTTCTTAGCAAAAAATGTGAGGTACCGCGAAATAATTTTTTTGGTACTTGATTTGTCAAAGTAATAAATTAAAACTTTCAATCCTAACGATCAAATAGACGGCATGTACCATCGTAGTACATTACCACAAATTGTAAGGACCCCCGGATTTTATTTCAAATAATGTGCGACTTGAAGTTTTTATCAGAAAATAAAATGTACCATAGAGTACATTTTAAGTAAGTGGGACTTGCAAGTTTTTACTAGAAAATTGAGGGTACCTAGATCAATTTTCCAAAATGAAATACCTAGTAATAATTATGAAGTATTATTATTATAATGTCTTAATTATACAATTAGAACATCTTTATTGGTAAGGGAATCCTTGAGAAATGATTATGTGGAAGAGAGGAAAGTGAATGGAATGACCAAAGTGAGAGAGTAGAATGGGGGGGAGAAGAGTGCATTGCCAAAAATATAAAGAGATGAGCACATGGAGTGTGGGGAGTAATTCGTGATTGGCAAGGGAAATGGATCAATATCTTCACTTTTCACTTTCATGAAAATCACGTGGAAGAAGTTGAAGTTATGGCAATCCTCACGTGGAAGACGGTTTATTTCTGTCACTATTTCGGTCGGTAAAAGGGGCGCGCACTACTTCCAGCGTCCACTTAACGACGGATTTTGAGTTCCGTCATTAAGTCTGGTAGGCATCCAAGATCCGTCACTGTTTCCGTCGCTATCAACAATGGAATTCTTTCCGTCACCAATTTCTGCCATTCTTTTTGCGTTTTCTTGTAGTGAGAGTGTGTAAGTCATCATGTCATGAGAGAGAAAAATTGTGTTGCGGAAAGACCTGGCAAAATAGACCCGGACTCGATAATCCAAACCGAATAATCAGAATCGAATATGAAATGACCCAAAAATTGAAGAACTAAATTAAACCCAAACATCCAAAATGATCTGAACCGAATTGAAACCGAACCGAAGGTATTCATACATGATTCAGATCCTGATTCGATTAAACCCAAAGCAGTTAGGGGTTAAAGTTGAACAAATTAAACCTGGGACTTATCATTAGACCCGAAACCAATTAGACTCAAAATCAGATAGAGCCAAAACCGATTAGATCCGATACTAATCAAGTTCAAAACAAAGTAAACTCAAATCCAGCCAAACCTAATAGCTCATTGGTTTTGTCTTTCTAAAAACAACATATTTGAATTTCAAGTACAACTGATTTAATGTACAAATTTTTTACTCTGTATTTTGTCACTTAAACTAAGGTTGTCTATATTATACTGAGTTTATATAATTTGTTGTGACATTATTACACAAATTGATGGATATATTGGCTCATTATTGCGGACACTTGAATATATGCTCCCTTTACACATAGGAGGGCAGGCTACACACAAGGCTAAGATTAGAAACTCTAATACCAAGAGATCTTATAAGATCCAAACTGATATAAACTCGAATTGATATAAACCTGAATCGATATAAACTCGAATCAGTATAAACGGGAATCAGTATAAACCCGAATTGATATAAACTCGAACCGATATAAACTTGAACCAAAGTCGAACCAAAACTGGAAATAACTCAAACCAAATTTAACCTAGAATCAAACTGAACCGAATCAAACCAATTATAGCGTATATCCCAAAGAGACCAAACCAAAAAGATCCAAACCGACCCGAATGCCAGGTCTATCTAGTTGGAGATGGCTTAGCAAAAATGGCACTTAGTCATAATAGCACAAGGGTTATCTTAAATTCACCTCCAGCGGAAGTTGATGAGGCTTGCAACAATGATAGGATTGAATTATTAAGCAACTGGAGGATAGTTAGATTTGGTTAGAGACAGTTGTCTATGCTTTTGCCCTCTTTATTTATAAAAATTTAAGGTAGAAGTGAATAACAAGAAGAAAGCAACAAAGAAAGAAGAAGAAAAAAAGGTGGGAAAATGAAGAAAAAAGTGAAAAAAAAACAAGATAAAAATTAAAACTAGTACTAGTAACTGTTTTACTATGGTAAAAAGAATTTACCGGCATCACTTTATTCTAAGTTTTTGTATGACACGTATTCTATTTTTATAGTGAAACACACAAGATATAATCTATGAATTTAAGTTATTTCATTAAAAAAATCATTTCGATTTATTTTATTAAATGTTGTGTATATAAAATAAATTTATGATATACTACAGATGAGATTTATGCATTTCTCTCTTATTAATTTTTTAGGTCACCATTAAGAGCCTGTTCTTTAGGATTGGAAAAAAAAGAGTTGGATGTTGGAAGAAACTAGAAAAAACTTGAAGAAACTAAAAAAACTAGAAAAAACTGGAAAAAACTGGAAGAACTAGAAGAAACGGGAAGGAATTGAACTAGAAGAAACTAGAAAAAACTGGAAGGAACTAGAAGAAACTGGAAGAACGAGAAAAAAGGAAAAACTTCAAAAAATTGGATAATAAAAAAAACTTTAAAAAATTTATTTTAGTGTATTTTTATATTATTCTAATTCTAATTCTTGTTGTTATAAATTATTATTATTATTATTATTATGATTATTATATTATTATTATTATTATCATCATCACGTTATCTTAATAAATGCCTTTAAGATATAAAAAAGTATTATTATTTTTCAAATACAAAATGTTAAATTTTAAAATTTTTTTGTGGTTACGTTGCACCTCAATTTATTTATGCAGTATTTATTACAAATAATATATTTTTAATTTTACTTTATATATTACAAGATTTTTTTTAAATATTAGACATGTCACATAATGTAACCAAACCTATTTTTTCATGATTGACATTTTATTTTCATTGTAAGTCCTATTTCTGGAATAAAGACATAGAACTTTTTTTACATTTTCTATGTTTTACTCCTATTTTAGTCCTTTTTCTCTAAACTATTTTGACTTTCAATTTTTTTTTTATAAAAATTATAAAAATGAGAAAATTTTATGTAATGAAGGGAAAGGTGAGAGATCTTATATAAAGTTATATTAATAAAACATTCTATGTAACTATTTTATTCATAATTTTCAATATAGTTTAAAATATTGATGTTTTCCAGTTTTATCATGTAGGTTAATATACAAAAAATTGTCTTATTCATATTTAAAAGTTGAAAAAAAATAATGAGTGTGAATCATAAAAATAGTGAGATGAAAAAGTAATTTATAAACTATACTTGTGAACATAGCAGTTTTAATAATAATAATAATAATAATAACAACAACAACAACAACAACAACAATAATAATAATAATCACAATAAAAATAGATCTTTTTTAGAGTAATTGGTTGTGAATTAGAAAGAGTTTTAAGAAAATGAGAATAGTTGAAAGAAAGTGGAAGGAACTTGATGCAACTGAAAGAAACTGGAAGTTAAGAGTTTAAACTCTAAAGAACAGGCTCTTAGAGGTCCTGTTCTTTTAGTTGGAAAAATTAACTTCAAATTTGTTCCAAGTCTTATCAAATTTGTCCTAGTTTTTCCAATTCCTTCAAGTTTCTTGTAAGGACTAAAAAACTGTATTTACATAGAATGAATATACAATAACCTTATATACCAAATTTATGTGATACCACCTCAAACACGAACATGAATGAATTTTTTATCTAAAATTTTAATATTATTACATATTTATTTTGATGATCATTTAATTGAGTGTCTTTTTAACACTTTAAATCGTCCACCTCCTTCCAGTTTCTTCCAACATTCAAGGTTGAATTTAGCCCCAAAAGAACATGGCCTAAAAAAAGTTTAATTTGTAGGTAGTGTTTTGTGGTTTAGTATTTTTTATAATAATAATTTATATGACAATTAAATTTTATAAAATATAAAGTAAAATTTGTGGTCATATATTTCTTTTAAAATTAATAGTATGATTTTTCATTAATTTTTCACAAATAAAATATCTTGGTTTATTATAAAAAACTGTTATGTAAAACAATTACCATAGTTTAACTTTTTTTTGGTCAAAGTGTGGTACTCTTTGACCGCGAATTAAAAATAGTTTAAAATTAATAAATAGTATAAAAACTTGAAAAAGGGAGAGTGCCTGGGTCGCAAGACCTCCAATCGCTGCCATTAATGCAACTGTTAAATATATAAAATATATTTAATATTATTATATTACTCCCTCTGTCCACCATAGATCTTCCCAATAGCCCTTTTTCTTTGTCCACAATAGATCTTCTCATTTCATTTTTTAACAAGTAAAATACCACAACTACCCCCACTTACTTTATTTATTACACCTCACCCACCCCATTTAATACACTCCACCCATTTTTCATTAAGGGTATTATGGTAAACTTTCACCTTTTTCAACTCTTCTTAAAAACCACCAAAAGTCAAAATGAGAACATCTTAGGCGGACGGAGGGAGTATTATTTGTTTCCATACTTGTATAGTAAAGTCTCGTTGTCAAGCCTGCCACTGTTCTTATCGTCCTCAGCCTTGCTCTGTCTCGCGGATGGCCCATTCATCAACTTGATGTCAAAAATGTGTTCCCTAGCTTCATGGCCAGCTACAGGAGACCGTTTATGCCAGCCAGCCTTTTGGGTTTCAGGATCCCACTCGCCCTCACTATGTTTGCAAACTCAAGAAGGCTCTCTATGGTCTCAAGCAGTCACCCCGCTCTTGGTTTCACAAGTTTGCATGTTTCATACAGACTATTGGCTTTTGAGGATGTAAGACTGACACTTTCCTATTCATTTTCTCTCAGCCCGTGGGCACGGCCTACCTGCTCCTATTTGTTGATGACATTATACTCACGGCATCCTCCCTGGCACTTCTCCAGAGCCTCATTCAGCAGCTCAAGGCTGAATTCTCCATGACAGACATGGGCGACATGCATTTTTTTCTCAGGATCAATGTTCATCGTACAGCCACCGGCCTCTTCCTCCACCAGACCCAGTTTACTCATGACATTCTTGAGAGGGCAGGGATGGTCTCATGTCGCCCCATCTCTACCCCGGTGGACACGAAGGCAGAACTCTCCACCACATCTGGCTCGGCACTCTCCGACCCCTCTTTCTACCGGTCCATTGTTGGCGCGCTGCAGTATCTCACCTTCACTCATCTTGATCTCACATATGCTTTTTAGCAGCTCTGTCTACATCTTCACGCTCCACGCGATGCTCATCTTACTACCATGAAACGCGTCCTTCGCTATCTCAGTGGCACCGCCACCCACGGGATCCATTTGACACGATCCGCCACTGACTATTTACAAGCTTATTCTGATGCTGATTGGGATGGCTGCCCTGACACAAGACGTTCCACATCGGGTTACTGTGTTTTCTTGGGCGAGAATCTCGTTTCCTGGTCATCCAAACGCCAGGCCACCACCTCTCGTTCCAGCGCCGAGGCTAAATATCGGGCAATTACTAATGCTGTTGCAGAGACCTGCTGGATCCGGAATCTTCTTCTTGAGCTCCAACAACCACTCCGTCGCGCCACACTAGTCTTCTGTGACAATGTTAGTGCTGTTTACCTATCATCAAATCCGGTGCAACATCGGCGCACCAAGCACGTCGAGGTTGATATACACTTTGTACGCGATAAAGTGGCGCTTGGTCAGATCAAAGTCCTTCATGTTCCTTCATCTTCTCCGTTTGCCGATATCTTCACAAAAGGACTGCCCTCCCTCTTATTTCTTGACTTCAGAGAAAGCCTGGGTATCCGACCCCAAGCACATCCAACGTAGCCGGGAGCATGTTAAATATATAAAATATATTTAAGATTATTGTATTATGATTTGTTTCCATACTTGTATAGGTTTACTAAAATATCTCTCCTACCATAACTAGGATTGAGACTTTTGTATATATACATGTACTCCCCACATAATTAATTAATGAAAATACAATTCTTCAGCAACAACTATGCCGCTGCTTGGAAAAGGGCGAGTGGAATCGGCTAGTCCGCTCTCTTGGCGAGGTTGTTGGGCCTCCACATCTTAGGCCGGTTCTCGCGACTGAAGACCAACGATGCGCGAATGGGCTGCTGCTCCAGTTCTTCTTGCTGGTCCCAGACACGAATACCACCACCGGAAGTGGAAGCTCTAGCCTAGCCATGGCAGCCCCAAAACCTCACCGTACACGAAAACGGACAATTGTGATTGGTCTTTGCAAAAAAGACACACTCGGGGGTTCTTGGATCGGCGCCACCCGAAGTTTCCAGCGTCTACTCTTGTCCGGATCTCCTGCTCGTTCTTGATCATTATCATTGGAATCACATGAAGCCTTATAACTCTTGCAATTACATAAGCTAGTCTTTGGTAACTAACATTTCATTTCAATTCAAGCATTTCAATTCCAAAATTTGAAATATTAAATTTCAAATGACAATGGGAGATGCATGGATTTCAATTTAAGATTTATTATGAATGAGAAGAATTTGACTCGAATCCAAATTCAAAATTTTTAAGTTTCCCAAATATAAAATTTGAGCCAAATTTGGATTTGAAATCTAAATCCATGTTTCCAAACATAGCATAATAAAAGAATTTTGTTTCTTTAGTAAATGAGGAGGTCCATTCAGAATTTGAAGGGAGACCAGGCCAATATCGATCCGATTGCTGCTGTATTTTGGATTAGCGTAGGAAATGTGGATACGTCCTCTCGAAATGCCTAGGTCGCCGAAAGTTGCTGGAGTCGCCAGCGTCAGGAGGGGTGGATGAGGTCATCGCTTGTCGTGGTTGGGTCTCACGATGTCCTCAAAACGAGGTCGCCATATCTCGGCCGGCCAGAACTCTCTCTCTCTCTGCCTCATCCTCGTCCGGAGCAAAACGTGGTCAGAGCACAGATTCCAAGCTGCAACACCATATTCGGGCCCATTAGACCTCGTGAATGGTGGTTGAATTTTGAGGATCCCGCCGCCAGTGGCCTAGCTTCTTGTGTATCTCAATAGCAGGAACACAATAGCAGCGGACTCTCTCACAAATTATTCGAATTGAAGAATAGAGTTGACAAAATCAACCCCAATCAGTTTACAACTAGATCCTGGATCGAAGTTGGGGATGACGACGACGTCACCATCATCACGAGTGGCAGCTGAGGTCGCCGTGCCTTGACCTCACAGTCACCTCGAGATAAAGTTGTCACTTTGCCCCTCGAGATAAAGGTACCTGTTATAAGTCTTTTTACATATTTAGTCCCTACATATCAAATATTACTAATTTAGTCTACAATTATTATATAAAATTGTAACGTTTTTGTTTCACGAATGGTCTTTTGTTAACGTTTTTGTTAAGAAATAGATAAAATTGTATATTCATACTTCTCTCTCTCTTCAATTAAGTTTTCTCCCTCCTCTCGTACTCTTTTCCAAACTCGTCGCTGAGTTTGAAGCTGTAAACCCAAAACTGAAATGATCATACCTCTCTCAATTATTAGTCTTCCTGGTGGAACCTAAAATAAAAAACAAGAAGCTTTATGGATGAGTTTTATCAATTAGTCTCAAAAAATTGCAAAGAAAATAAATATAAAAACTCATCCATGAAGGTTACTGGTTTCGAATTTGGGTTCCACCAGTTAGACAAACAATTGAGAGAAGAGTGATAATTTCGGTTTTGGGTTCAAAGCTTCAAACTCAGCGACGGGTTTGGGAAAGGAATGCGAGGGGAGCGAGGAAGCTTAATTGAGGAGAGAAAGGAGTGTTAATTTACAATTTTATACACGTTCTTAATGAAAATGTTAACAAAGGACCATTCGTGGCAATGAATATAATAATTGGGGACTAAATTAGTAATATTTGATATGTAGGGACTAAATATGTAAAACAACCTATAACTGGAGAACTTTTATGAAATTTATTCTTTTTTTTTTCTCCATTTTTTCTAGTTTCTTCCAATATTGAGTTTTACTTTTCATGTTCTAAAGAACAAACTCTAAGTCTTTTAAAAACACAATAATAAACAAAGATTAACAAATCTAGAATAGTAACTTAGAATTTCATTTGGCAATGGAGGGAACAAAGGGTCTGTTCTTTAGGACTGGAAAAAAACATGTAGATGTTGGAAGAAACAAAAAGAAACAGGTAGAACATGAAGAAAATGGAAGGAATTGGAAAAAACTAGAAGAAATTAGAAGAAACTGGAAAAAAAAAGAAAAAAACATTTGGGAAAAAGACTAAAATAATAGAGTAAAACATTGAAAATATATCAAAATAAGAGTTCTGTGTTTTAATTCTTGAAATATGAGTTAAAATGCATTTACATTACCATTAATGACCACGTACGTTACGAAAAAATATAGTAAACTGCCATGTACAATGCCACATTACTACAACGCTAACTTCTATTTAGGAAATAAAACATAGAGCTCCTATTTTAACATTTCAATTCTTCTCTATGTTTTACTCCTATTTAAGGTGATTTCTTAAACCTTTTAAAACTTGTCATTATTATTAATTTATTGTTATATATAATTATTATTATTATATTCATCATCATGTTATTTTAATCAATATCTTTAAGATAAAAAAGTATTGTCATTTTTCATATACAAAAAGAATATATTTTCACAATTTTAATTAGAATATAAGTTTTATTATAAATATTAACATGTTATTGTGGTTACGTTGAACATCTATTTATTTATCTTGCATTTACTATAAAATTATATATTTTGAATTACACTTTATAAATTACTCACTCCGTCCTAAAACCATCTTCCCACTTCTCTTTTTTTCCCGTCCTAAAAATGCCTTCCCAAACCCAAAAAAGGGCAGTGTAAAGACAAATATACCCCTCCTCTCATCATTTACGTTATACCTGCCCTTCCCTATTTGCATTTACACCTCCACGCTGCTTCTCTCCTTCTTCGCTCTTCGCCTCCTCTGTCTAAACCCTAGATCTATCTATCTATCCCTCTCTCTATCTCTCCTTCTCCGCCTCTCTCAGCCTCTCAAAATTCATCGCCTTCTCTCCATCTTAACATCAGTCTTCCCTTATACCCTCCTCTGCCTACAAATGGATTCTGTGGATTTGAGATCCAAATCCCAGATTCATGAAATTGGTGAGAGCAAAAATCAATTTCAAGGATTGAAGAAAGAAGACGAGAAGGAAAAGAAGGAGGTTTCAGAGTTTGAGGACGGAGAGAGTCAGATGGATGATGACGGATCTGAATCTGATACTCTCCCATCTCCAGGCATAGTCATCGCTGATAGTGAATATGAGGAAAGCTCGTTGAAGGACGAGCGCATGCGAGGATTTGGGAGCAAATCTGATGAAGAGCAAGAGGATGGGCCAGAGGAGGGGCAGGGCAGAGACTGGGTGCCTGGTTTTGACATGGGCAGCCACTCTGGTTTTGACCAAGGGGATGGCGTGGTCCAACAAATTCCAAGGCTCCTCTCCCACAAGGAATACAAAGTGAAGTGTCTTTGTCTTTACTGTCTGAATGTCTAAGTCCCTGCATATATTTCCCACACACACACAACACATAATCACAGCAATGATGATATTTGAATTTACTTTTAAATTTCTACTAAGTCATTAGTGTTACATCTTGTGAGTGGTAGTGAAAGAAAACTGATTGGAGTACATTTGAGTAGTTGCCTTGATTGGACTTACTTTCCTACTGCTGCCTAGGCATAACTTGCATTTACAAAAATCAAAAGCCAAAAAAAGAATGTACCCAACCATTAACAAAAATCAAAAAGATTGTGTTCATTTCATAAACACTTAGTTCATCTCTGAAGATGAGAAGTCTTCTCCATCTTGAGGCATGAACTCAGGCTGGTCTTGCTGTTCACTTTGGCCAGTAGCTTGGGCAAGGACCCTTACTGCCTTCTCCACCAATGTATGTGGTACATTTAGACACACTAGTAGTGCTCCTTGTCTAGCCAATCTATCCTTGGCCATATGTGGTAGTTTGTACTTGTTTCCTCCTTCATCATTCATAACTTGCTGCATCACATCTTGGTAGCTTAACCATACCTTGTTCAATGTCTCTGCTGTAAGAGCTGCATATCCACCCCTAACTGCTTCCACAAGTTCCGCCACATTTTTTGGAGCACACTTCTCTTTCAGAGATTGGATGACTTTAAAAAACCCCAAGTCAAGTATGTTTAGGTCTGGGGAGTTAGGGGGTTGGTTACTTAATGTAATGTTGAAACCATTTGCATTTCATGCTGTCATGAAGTCTTGGTTTGTCCCAGAAATGTGGGGTCTGGCATTGTCTTGCTGAAGCACAATGCTTCTGTCTAAGAAAGATGGCCATTTCTCATGGATTGCAGGTATAACTTGGTTCACTAACATATCTTTTGTCACCTCTTTGGTAACACTGAGTAATTGTTTCATTTCCAAAACCCCAGCCTCTCTATTCTTGCTCTTTCTTTTAGCTGCCACAATCTCAACAAAAGGAAATATTCCAATTTTTCCATCCCACAGTACTTCTCCATTGTCTGAAAATAATGGTCTACGAAGAACACATAAGAACATGACCTTGGTGATGAATCTCTTTGACTTACAAGTTCTGTAAGGATCCATTTCAGAGTTGGCCAAATAATATTTCTGTGATGTTTTGGACATAAAAAACCATTTTTCATCCATGTGGAGAACATTATGAAAACTTCTGAACTTGGGATTATAAGGGATGCTTGTGGGTTCTAACTGTTTCAAACAAAACTGCAATCTTTGCAGCTTGTTTCCATCTGTTAGAAGAGGCTTAATTGCATTTGAATGACTTCTTAGCAAACCTCTCTTAATGCAAAGATGGACAGTAGATTTAGACATACCAAGTGCAGCAACTAGTGATCTGATGGTTGTCCTTTGGGCTAGAGGAATGTTTGGGATAGATTCAACATCTATGACCACTCTTTTCCTACCAATATTCCCATACACCTTACTTTTGACATCAATGGCAACTCCCTCATTTAACTGTTTTCTAGCTTTGCTCCATATGTCTCCTATGCTTCTTCTAGAAACATTGAATTCATCAGCAACCTTGCTGATTATTCCTTTCTGAGTTGTGTACTCACCTGATTTTTTTTGCATATGGTAGGATTGCTTCTACAATTCTTTGCCTTTGACTGTTTGATAGCCTGATCCTGCATGATCTTTGTTCTCTTCGCAGGTCCTCATCTCTGCCTGGTTGAAGGACAACAGCAGCACCCGGGATGGTCGCTGCAGTAGTCGGGATGGTCGCAGCAGCAGTCGGGACAATCGGGATGGTTGCAACAGCAGTCGGGATAGTCTGGATGGTCGCAGCAGCATTCGGGACAGTCGGGATGGTCGCAGCAGCATTCGGGACAGTCGGGATGGCCGGGATGGTCGCACCAGCACTCGGGATGGTCATAGTAGCTGTCGGGATGCTGGCAGCAGCAGCAACAAACGCAGGAGGAGGTTCAGGACCAAGAGCAGACATTAAGGATGAAAAAAAGTTGACTAGGGATTCCCTTTCTAAAAGTGGAAAGTATGCTCCTATTTATAGAATTGGGGGATTTTTTGTTTTTGTTTGGGAGGGAAATTTTTAGAACTTTCCCTCCTTATTGAATTTGGTTGAACATGAAATTTGTAAAAGTGGATGCCTATGCTTTTTGGGCTTAATGTACAGTGGATTGCTTCCTTTAGAGATGTTTTAGTGTGTTTTTTTCCTTTATTAAATCCCTTTTTTAACCTTTTTTTTAGTTAGCCTTAAAAAAAATTTCCTAAAATTTTTAGTAAGGGGCAAAATGGGAAGTCAAAGGTTAAAATATGAAGTTCTTAAAAATGGAAAAAAGTCAATGTGGGAAGGTTGATTTAGGACGGAGGGAGTACAAGATTTTATTTTAAAAATTAGACCCATCACATATTGTGATCAAATCTATTTTTTCTTTAATGATTGACATTGCAATAATACAAAGATGATGATGATGATCATTAGTAATACTAATAATACAACTACCACTAATAATATAAAGATGATGATGATGATGATAATAATCATGATAACAATAATAATATTAATCACATTAAAAATACATTGTTTTTAGAGTAATTGTTTGGGGAGTAGAAAAAGTTTGAAGAAAATAGATAAGTTGGGAAAAATTAGAAGAAACTAAAAGGAATTAGAAGAAACTAGAAGAACTAAAAAAAACTTGAAGAAACTGGAAAAAATTAGAAGTAAAGAGTTTAAATTCAAAAAAACAAACTCTAAATATATATCTATATAAATGAATAAATATTTCTCGGAGTATGTATATGAATTGCATTATATTATATTCTGGAGCATTTTATATTATCCCCGGAGTATAAATTTTTATTTCTATTATATAAATTATATTATATTATATAAATCATTTACGTAAATATAAGTCCTTAAATTTAGTTTCATTTACAATAATAGCTAATGAAAACTGGTCAAAACAATTCACTTAATCAATCATTCAAAATCAGTCAGTATAAACATCTACTCCCTCCGTCCCATAAAACATTTTCTGTTTCAAAAATGGCACGCCTATAAAATGAGTAATTTTAGTGTTATTTTTTAATTATGACTAATCTATTCTACACATCTCATCCTACTCTTTTATAAAGTAAGGGCAAAATTAAAAAATAACACCCAAATTACTCATTTTAAGGGCGCCCCTTTTTTGAAAGAGGAAATGTTTTATGGGACGGAGGGAGTAACATCCAAGCGCCAATTTAAAAAAGGACTCTTATCATTTATCAAATCCGTATCACCATTAGCAATATTAATTTTTGCGATGGAATATTAAATGTGAAAAACTCTAATTGCAAAAGATTATTTCTCAAATAGACTATTATTTATAGAGCATTATCTTAACCCGGCTTTGTTCATTGAATTTTAGATAGTAGTACTATATTAGCTTTGATGAAAAAGGAGCAAGTCTCTTTGTTTTCCTATATGTATGGACACTAAATATTCCTATAAGGTGAGCATTAATTATTTTGATTACATACCATAAAAAAGAATGAAAACCCCTTACATATTGAAATTTACAAAGAGAAAATATACTTCGTATAGTAACGTCATAGCGCTTCATCATTATCCCACATGTCTTCCACCATTATTTTTTCTTCTCTGCTTATCCTCATTTTCTTGAGGATCGCCACTGGTAAGACTCACTTGCCACCGCAAAACTTTAATGTTTTGGACTATGGTGCAGTTGCTGACGGCGTTTCGGAAAACAGTCCGGTAACTCTTTTATTTCCACCACTTCTATATCTCACTTACTATGGACTAATTCTCTAAAATATTTTAGTTGTCTTTGGTATACTGAATTCACAGAATTAAAATTGAATTGAAATTTAAATTTTATGGAATTAAATTTGATGGGATGAAATTTATCATTTCCAATTCAATTTTTGCATTTACAATTCAAAATTAACATTTTTTGTGTTACAAAACAACAGAAGAGAGCCTAGAAATATTATCATTGGTGGGTTTGTTTGTTATTTAGGCATTTCTGAGGGCATGGGAAGATGCATGTAGACACCCGGGGAAGAGTAGGGTAATTGTACCAAAAGGGACGTTCAAGATTTGGTCAACGACATTTGTGGGGCCGTGCCTGGGGCCCATATCATTTGTGATAGAAGGAGTTCTCAGAGCTCCGACGCATCCGTCGGAGTTCCGGTCGGACACGTGGCTAGGGTTCCGGTATGTGGATAGGTTGTCGGTGAAGGGCGGTGGTTACTTGGATGGCCAAGGCCACGCTGCTTGGCCCTTTAATGACTGCTCCACGAATCCCAACTGCTTTCCTCTTCCTGTGGTATGTTTTGTTCCATTTTCTTTTTTATTCGTAATAATTACTCATTCCAGAATATAATGGAGCATAAGGAATTGAATGGAAAAAGTCTTTTGAATATACTCCTCCCACCACCAAATATTTTCCCATTCTGCGTTACGAGATTTGATCGACTTTATTTTCAATTCAATTTATTTAATTGTAAGAATAAAATTCAAAAATAAAAGTTATACAGTAAAAAAGTACATGAAAAATTCTACAAAATTACAGGTGACAAGACTATATTATTTTATGAAATGAGTAGTAAAAATAAGCAAACAAAATAAATAAAGTTTGACCCTGAGAATAGTGCCTGGAAAGATTTATGGTGGACAGATGGAGTACTCCGTAAAAAAACTTCTCAAGTTGGTTAGAATAAAATTAAATGCAAAACGTTTTTTTTGTATTCATATGGGGCTCAAGGGGAGAACGATTATTTGTATCAACGGAGTACTGTCGGTTCCCGAGTCATTTGAAGATCGAATTAAGATCAAAATAATGGTGTTGAAAAATAACCATTAAATTTCTTCATTAAATGAATTAATTTTGAAAATTTTGTTCAAATTTTATTATGTGTAAGTTATATTTTTATCCTACTTTTAGTTTTTTTGTAGGTGAATATAAAATATGAACAATTATTCTAAACATTATTTTTTTAGCATTCATTTTTTTAAATTTGTAAAAATATATAAACTAAACTTTAATAACAAATTTTTGCTTTTAATTATTCATTGTTCATTTTTTTAATTTTCTTTAATTAAATGTATTTTTGAGTTTTCCAAAGTAAAGAGGTTTTGTTATATTTTCAAGGTTAAACTAGGTATGTATGTATTTTTCCCAATTTGTACCAAATTTGATATATTGAACCATACAGAACCAATATTTTCAAATTGGAATTGAGATCGGTACGGCGTATATAAAATCTAATACCATATCGAAATATTTGATACCACATTGGTACGAGCTACTCGGTTTATTCCTAATTGAAGATAGATCCTTTCAGAGAGTTCAGACGATGAAGGGATTAAGTTATGCATCTCAACAATCATACGGAGTAATTTCGGCTCATACCAAAATTATTCGTTTAAAGAGAATTTAATTTGACTCTTTTCAAATCCATATCCATTGAGCTTGTCCAACTATTAAAAAAAACTCCAGTCTAACATGGGATTTCTCTTGAATTTTGGTCCCATGAAGTCACTACGGTTAGACTTTGTGAGGAAAGCAAGGATAAATCACTTGAGATCAATAAACAGCAAGAACACCCACTTCTCCCTCTTCGCCTGCGACAAGATCCAAATCTCTCGGGTGAGGCTGACCGCCCCGGGCGACAGCCCTAACACGGACGGAATCCGCATCGGGGCGTCAACCAATGTCAAGATATCACACGCCACCATCCAAACAGGCGACGACTGCGTCTCCATCATAACCGGTAGCAACAACATCCGCGTCAACGATGTGATGTGTGGGCCCGGCCACGGCATCAGCATCGGCTCCCTGGGGAAATCCCAGGGAGACTTTGTGTCAGATGTTCAAGTGACAAACTGCACCTTCCTCGGCACTCAGAACGGCGCGAGGATCAAAACATGGGCTGCGGACTCCATGTCCAGCACCGTCTCCAACCTATTCTTCGGGTACATTGCAATGCAGAACGTGAACAACCCCATCATCATTGATCAAGTATACTGCCCCGGCCAGCTTCCTGATTGCTACACTCTGGTAATTATGTCCACTTTAATTGTCACACGTATATATTTCAACTTTCATAAATAACGTTTTTCGTTTTTTTGTAATTGTGTGATAGGGAAAATCATTGTCACGGGTACAGATAAAAGATGTGACATTTTACAACATTTGGGGAACCTCAGCTTCAAAAGTGGCATTAGCGTTGAAATGCAGCGCATTGGTTCCTTGTCAGGATATCGTATTGAATAAAATTGACTTGAGTTACAACGGGCAAGAAGGCGGACCGGCAATTTCAGACTGTTCCAATGTGAATGGCAAATCCTATGGGAAACAGTTCCCCAATGGGTGTTTGTAGACAAATAGAGATTAGAGGCTACATGCATCATGCGTGGGAGCAGTATTTTTTTATTAATCCAACTGACGTTTAACACACATTATAGCTTAGATAGAACTTATTCTACACATTGTCGAACTTTTCTTGTTTTTTTGTCACGCAAATTATACTCTTCGCTATATTTGTTGTTTTATGTTTTCTTGTTTTTTTTGTCAGAGTAAGGGACGCAAATTATACTCTTCGCTATATTGTTGTTTTATGTTGTAGTTGAGAATCGTCTTACGACAAAAAAATAAGAATGTACTCTTTTTTTTATACATTTTACAATTGTAGTAGTATTTTTTCGGCATTGACAATAAAGTTTGATTTATTTGTAAAATGTCATCTTGATTTTTTTATTTCTTTAGTTTTAAATTTAATAGCCTTAATCTTAAATTTAATACTCCCTCCGTCCCAAAAAGATTTACACGTTTTGACTAAAGTTGAAATTAAGGGAAGGATAATTTTGTGTTAACTTTCCAAAAATACCCTTGATGTGATGGGTAAAAGTAGGATGTGATGTGTACATTATTAGGAAAATGGTATGATGTGATAGGTAGGGTTTGAAAAAGTAAGGGGTAAAAGTGATTTTTTAATAGAAATGGGTAAGAGATTGTGGGACGCAATTTTTTTGAAAGGTGTAAATCTTTTTGGGACGCAGGGAGTAAATTATATGCATTTTCATTATTTTATTATATACTAGCTCCCTCCGTTCTGCAAAAAAATTTCCCATTTTGACTTTTAAAAGATTTAAAGAGAGTGTATTTTGTTGTTGACTTTCCAAAAATGTTTTTTGATGTGATGGATAAAGTAAGATGTGATTGGTAGATTGATAGAGAAAAGTGTGATGTGATAGGTAGATTAAGAATTTATAAGGATAAAAGTAACATTTTAATAGAAAAGGGAAGAGTTTTTTGGGACGTATGAAAAAGGAAAGGAGAAGGGTTTTGTGGGACGGAGGGAGTATCATTTACGTTTGAATCAAAGGTTGTGTCTGAAAAATAAATTTTTGGATAGCTTTTGACATCTTTGAACGACTTTAGTTTTATCAACTAATCGAACAACCAAAACCATTGTTTGGCAAATGGCTTTTCCACTTGGCTTTTTTATCCGAAAAGCCAAAATCCGAAAAGCCAAGAGGAGTAGTTTTTGGACATGATGGTTAGTAAAAATTAATTTTTTAAAATCAATTTTTGATACGGATGATCAGGGACACGTACTCAGGGACCGGAGAACCACGTTCTTGTGAAGAGGAAGTCGTATCGGTGTGGCCAAGGAGGAATGTGTGGGTCCTCCTCGTCGATATCGGAATTATGTTATGCCTTAATATTTATTATTCATATTTATCGTTTATTATGTAATTTAGATTTTTATTAGGTGAACAAATATAAGCTCCTTTGAGGATTTTTTTCAGTTATTTACCTCGATGTCTTTTTTGAATTGACATGTTAGAAAACTAGTTTGATTAGGTTTGGGGAACTCTTTACTATATAAGGGGGATGTGATATTTTTACAAACCCCAAGTTGATAATAATTTTCCCCTCTTCCCCGTAAACTTCTTCCCTCTCTTTCTTTTTCTCTCGTTTGGTCACGACCAAACGAGCCACCGAAACCCTAGCTCGGAAAAATTCTTTCCCGGCGTGGGGTAAAATCCTATCAACTGGTGTTTTCATTCTCGTCCTCCATGGCCTCCCACTTTGGTAACGATGGCAACACGTCTGGATTCTCGCTCAATGATGTGATGCAAGCGATCACAAATCTGGGCAATGATTTACAGTCCACGAAGGTGCAAGTGGCCAAGTTGGCTACTGCTGCCAGGCCGGCCTCTGGCTGTTTGCCGCACATGGGATGGCGTCCTCCTTCGTCTCGTACGTTCGCGGGTGCCTCTGATTCCGTTCCTAGAATGCGCGCCGATGCTCCACGTTTCAACGGGGACAACCCTATGGGATGGATTTTCCGTATTCAAAAGTATTTTTATTATTTAATGACTCTAGAGTATGAGCAGCTTCAACTCGTGGCTATGCTCATCGATCACCCCGCATCTGAATGATTCCACTACTACCAAGCCAACAACCTCGGAGCGACATGGGAAACCTTTCTCTCTGTTGAACAATTTGATCCCTGTTATTATGAAAATTATGTCGGCATGCTTTCTAAGTTAAGGATGACGTCTTCTATTATATATGGACTACCAGTCAGCATTCGAAGTCATACTCAATAAGGTTTTGGGTGTTTTGGAATCGACCCTGATCGCCATGTATGTGGCCGGTCGTCTTATGCAACCCGTTCAACAGGAGGTCAATTTGCGGGGGCTAACGACATTGCATCACACTTTTGCTTTTGGCCCGAGAACTGGCTGTATGTCACCCGGAAGCTGCTATGACGTTTGGATCGCGTCACATGTGGCCAAGCCGCCCCTTACAACATCCGGTGCGGCCACGCCAGGGATTCTGCCCACACCGATTGAGTCCCCAAAAGTCCCTGCTAACCCTAGCCAACTAGTGGAGAAGTCACCGGGGTCCTCACTGCCCGTGGTTCGCATCTCCGCTATGGAGAAAGCTGAACGCAACATGAAGGGATTGGATCATGTTGGTATTGCAATGAAAAGTGGGTACACGGCCATAATTTCAAGCATCGCTTTCTCCTCCTTATGGGGCCTAACACGGAGGACCAACACTCGAATTCGCCCACTGTGGGAGATGATACTTTGGAAGAGTCCCTAATAACCGGCGATGTTTCAAGCATTCACTCACTTGCGGGAGCTCGAGTCTGCAATCACTGAAATTGGTGGGTTTGGTGCATAGCATGTCAGTTCAGGTCCTCCTTAGATCTATTCCATTATGTGGGTGAGATTGAAGCTTAATGTGACACCTCGAAACTCGGTCTATCAAGATTAATTAATTAAAAATAATTAATTAATTATTGATACGCACTCGGTGTAATTTTTAAATATTGTTCGTTTGATAAAAAGATTTATACCGTCGTGTAGGGTTCAACGGAACGAATCCAACGGTGCAAACGGATTCGGATATGGAGCTTGTGGGCTCGAAAAGTGCGTTTTGGGCTAGGTACGTTAATTAATTACGGAGCCCAAAACCTCTAATGTATAAATGCTCCCCTACACGCCCCAAACCCTCTACGTCACTCCCCATATTTTACGTAACCCTCTCACGTATACTCTCTCTCTCTCGCTACTCTCCCTCAATTAGAAAGAGCAGAACGGAACAACAACGCAGCAGTGGGAAGAAGGAAGAAGAAGAAGAGAAGTTCATCGTCGTACAATTTCCTTGTTGTTGGTAATATCCCCGTAGTTCCATTCGTCGTAATCGAGGTGAGTCCGTGGACATCTACCGTATTGTTTATGTTGTTTGTGGTTAAAAAGGCATGGATCAGAATATGAAAGGTTAGAATGATGTTGGTTAATGTTGGTACTGTTAATATGAACTTATTGATATTTATTGTTATGAAATTGATGTTGTTTGATGTGGAAAAATGAAGTTGTTGCAGAATCTGAACTTTTCGTGCCCGACGGTAGGGCGGTACCGCCGGGACGGTACTGTGCTACCGCCACCCTCTATTTTTCCATCCACCCGTACCGGTACCTGTGACCATAAAGACCTTAAGGCTGCAAAGCTAAATCCAAAGGTTTCCGTCAGCATCTCCAACCATGCTTGCTATATTAAATTGTTATTGTTAAATTTTAACTAGTGAATAGTAATATAGCAAGTAGTTTTTTCCTCCATTTTCCAACCATGCTTGCTAAATTTTAACCAAGAATGGATTTTTCTAGTGCCTCTCTCTATTCTCATGATGAGATTACTTTTTTGGACCATTGATTTAATTTTTTATTAATTTTTTTGGCTTGCTATTATTTGGTTGGCTTGTTATGTTTAGCAAGTCAATTTTACTTTTTGACTAGTGTGTTATAATATACCACATCCCTTGGAGATTGAAAATATAGACTCACTTGCTATTATATAAGTTTTAGCAAGTCATATTGATAAGGTTGGAGATGCTCTCGGCATCTACTCATATTGAGAAATTTGAGCAACATGCATGATTTCTCCATATTTCTGTTTTAACATAGTTTTTATATGGGTATAAAATCAAAACTGTTTCAGGTATATGGTTCTAAAATGGAGAATTGGCATGATTTTTATGTTATGTTGAATTATATTTAATTTTATATTTATCTTCTATTTCATTTACTAGATGCACCATGGGGCACAATTGTATTTTTCATTATAATTCATTGCAGTGACAATATGCATTATTACTCTTATGTGCTTTCTAAGTAGAGAAACAGGGAAGTGGAGGTATCCCTTGAATATTCATTGTCAGTTTTTTCAAACATATTGCCTCTTCATCTAATAAATGAATTAGCATACGAAAAATTGATATAAATACTTCCAGAAATTTGAAATTTCACAATAATACTCTCAAATTTAATAAAAGACTCTGGTGCTTCCAATTAAACTATAAGTTTACATTACTACTCCCACTATCTCTAATCAGCTTTTCTTATGCTTACATGTAAGTAATTATACTTAGTTGACATCTTAGTTATTGTTTTTTGTTTTAATAAGAGGAAAAAATTATATAAATATTCATAGAAATTCAAAATTTTACAATAATTCTTCCAAAATCAAATAAAGACTCCAATTCTCCTAAAAGTATATTCTCGTTGCACGTTACTATATTTGACTGAAATTATTTTTAAATTATTTTATATGAAAAATGGTGTGAAATTAAAAAATAAAAATTACATATTAAAAACTAATATAGTAATATGTAAAAAAAAATTCTTTTAGTAATATTAAAGATTAATTAATTGAGCTTAATTGGCATATTAAGTAGTTTTTTATATTTTAATAAAAAATATCCCTCTGTCCAAAAATTATCTTCTCATTCACTATCAAGAGTATTAACAAGATCAAATTTTATTTACTTTGCTTATCTATTTTAATTATGTATTTGATAAAATAATATAATTATATCATTACTAGTTTTATAGATCTTATAATGTAATTTTTAGATATATAATTTTATTTTTTGATTTCACAC